GCGATGTACAGAACGCTCAGATGAGCGTAACCTTAACCTCCTTTGAACACCGCGCAAACCTACGAGCGATCATGTTAGCTCTGACAAGCAGCGCCCTCCGTTCCCGATCCATAACCGCGTGATCCTTCAGGTCGACGGTGAGTAAATGCCCCAGATATTGAAAATGTTTAACCCTTTCCAGGGGTACACCATTTAATTTTATTTGAGGTATACTATCAGGACATTTCGTACCAGCGGCCTCAAAGACCATGTATTGACTCTTCCTGACATTGTACAATAATCCGTGGCCACATGTATATTAACTATATATATTAAGACTTTGGAACCCTGGTTCCGCTCAATCGCTTCTTCAATACGAGCTGTATTGAAGTTGCGTAAATCGCGCCGCATACATTTGGGGATCTGTCTGTTCAGTTACCTGTATGCTATCAAATATGCTGACGACTGCAGATTCATCTCCCGTCTAACATCCATGAGGTTAAGAGTGTGATCGAAGAGTTTTTGTGTTCTTTCGCGGCGGGTTTTGCAGATTTAAGCTCCAACCGCATGGACAGTTTCCACGAGCTTGTCATTCATATCGTCCACTGCATTGATATCTTTTAGGCACTGAAAACGGTTTTGTAACTCGAGCTGAAATGTTTCGGGACTTAGGATTAGATCACGAGGAGGACGGAGCGTTGACTTCACTAGACGTGACCTCTCCAGCTAAACTTTAAGGTTCAGTGTGCCTCTTACCATTGGGTGATCACTGCCTGTTTTCATACTTGCGTCAATCTCATTTTTTTGTCGAACCGTCGGGGCTCGACCAGGTCCACCGTCTGTGGGGCCGCTTCTGGAAGAAAGTATTCATCATAAAGAATCCCTCTTTCTCCACGAAGTCGGCCAGCTGCTGGCCCCCTGGGTTCCGTTGCCCTATCCCAAATTTCCCTACCTTTAGCTCACCGACCTATCTTGTGCCTAGCTTTGCGTTGAAGTCTCCCATTAACACTGTATAGTGAGTTTTTTTATAGAAGAGGGGGCAAACGAGCATGCGGCTCACCTGATGTTAAGTGACTACCGCCGACCATGATCAACCGCAACACCAGGGGAATTGCAGGTGCGTTGCCGGCCCTTTAGAAAGGAGTAAGCTCTTTTCTTGAAGGTCCCCAGGTCGTATCGGTCCGGAAAAATTGCCGGTGGTAAACTATTCCACAGAGAGGTTGTACGCGGAAGAAAATTCCTTTTGAAACGTACAGTGTACCGCCAAGCATCCAGATGGTGTGGATGGTATCGAGACGTTTGCCGCGTAGTGCGTTCACGAAATTTGGCGGCTGGGATTAATCCGAGCTGATATTGCCAACTGTGATATAATAAAAAACTTTATTATAACTGTGATATAATAAAAAACTGCGGTTGCCAACCCGCTCACCAAGCGTGGCAACTATAGCAAATATCTCCGCATGAATAACGACGCAAACAAATGGCACCCAGTCCCCGGCGGCCCCGCTATTCTTAGCTACGGTGGCGACCATGGTAACGGCGGGGCAGGGTGTGCTAAGAATCTCCGGTGGAGGTTCGGTTGCCACCTACGACGACTCGACCTGGCAACATATAACGCACACACCCTGAGGACTGACGAGAAGATACTGGAGCTGGGGAAGAAGAGGTAGACAAGTTGCGTTGGCATATTATTGGATTATCTGAGGTCCGAAGAGAGGAGGAGGGAGAGGAATTACGTGACTGTCTAATAATAGACACACGTAATTAAATGATATATTGGTCACTGTTTTAGTTGTCATGCTGCGTGCATTGGAAATGTGCCCCGTTGTATTAAAAAAGGTAACAAAAATATTGGTAATTATCTGCTTGTATATTAAAAAAATGTCATCACTACCCCCTCTAGAATCATTTGATTGTGATGGGGATTCTCATGGTGTTGGCGCAAAATGGGAGAAGTGGAAGCGAGGATTAGACATTTATCTAGAAGCTGCAAATATTGAACTACCTGCAAAAAAAGAGCTACATTATTACACATGGGTGGCCTTAGTCTCCAAGAAATATACTATAATATACCAGGAACCTTGCGTTGAACGAAGGATGTTCATGTTATAGCTATTGAAAAGTTAGAAGAGTACTTTGCTCCAAAACAAAGCAAAGTATACGGGAGACACTTATTTCGGCTAATGAAACAGGAATCTGGAGAAAAATTTGAGAAAATTTTAAATAGATTGATAAATGTGATGTTGAAATAACGACGAAAGCATTATTGATCAAATTACAGAAAAGTGTTACTCGGGTGTCGTAAAAATTTTTTAAAAGGAGGTGACAAAATGACTTTAGAGGATATCATAATAGAAGCAAATACTTTAGAAAGTGTGAATAGACAGATGGATAAATTTACTCACAACTCCGCATGTAATAGCAGTATCGTGGCTAAAATTGTGTGGGAGCTTTAAGCATATGCCTCAATCAGTAGAATGTCCCGCAAGGAAAATTAAATGCCATAAATATGGTATAACAGGACACTTTCGGAAGTATTCTTTGACAGGAAGGTCACCTAAAAGACAATTTTCAAGTTCAAAAGACCCTACACCACAAAAAAATCAAGGCGGGAGGAAAAGGAAGAAATCGATTGTTTATCTAATAGATGACACTAATATTAATTGTTGGGTAGGTGGTGTCAAGACGTCATTATTGATCGATTCCGGATGTAAATGTAATTTGTAACCGATGTCACGTGGAGAAAACTAAAGAGGAATAAAATAAATGTTTTTGACATGGATAGATCACCGGATAAAACATTTTACGCCTATGGTAGCACTAAGCCACTAATTATTTTAGGATCGTTTAAAACTCATGTCCAAGTCAATGACAAAATTGAGGTTGCTGTTTTCTATGTGATAAAAACGGCACTAAAGATATCTTGGGGAAAGTAACGTCCTTAGCATTGGGCGTTCTGCGATTAGGTGTTAGTGTAAATGCCGTCGAGTCCACACTATATAAAAATATAGCAGCATTCCCAAAAAATTAAGGGTGTTGTTGTCAAGATACCTATTGATGAGAAAATAACTTTTTTTTTTTTTAAATTTTTTTTCCGCCAGTAAGTCAGCCTTACAGGAGAATACCTATACCCTTAGAAACAAAAGTTAATAAAAAAATTCAAGAATTATTGGAGCTCGATATTATCGAAGAAGTATCTAAGCCGTCAAAATGGATTTCACCTATTGTGCCTGTTTTAAAAGACAATGGGGATATTAGGATCGGTATCGAAGAGCTAACGCAGTAATAATTCGCAAAAATTTTAAAGATTCGAGATTATTTTCTCGCCTCTACATTAAAAACGCTTTCCACCAAATCTAAATCCACCCGGATACCCGATACATCACTACATTTATATCTAGCAAAGGGTTTTATTTAGTTTTATTTAGATACAAGAGACTTATGTTTGGTATTTCCTTTGCCCCAGAAATGTTTCAAAAAATCATGGAACGTACTCTTATACAGTGTGAAGGTACCGTAAATTTTATTGACGATATTGTGGATAAGTGTGTTAGTGACATTGTGTAATAAGTGATACCGTCTACATTGTGCAAAACAAAGCGGCGTATTGTATAAGTATAAATACATTTTCTGTTGACCTGTACTTGGGGTAAAAAAGGCGGAACAACAATGAAAAAATGAATTCCGTTTATCTACCCCAAACGAGGTGGATAAAAGAACACACGTTTCTGAATATCCACCCTAGGGTGAATTAATTAGTGTGCATAAACGGAATAACTCCGTAAGTGATGTAATTTTGTGTAATAATATCTGCACTGCGAATGTGAACTAATGAAGACGATGCTATGATAATTTAGTCATCAACTGTCGGCCGAGTTAAACTGTCTTTAAAAACTTAACATTGTGAAGCATCAACATATTGTAAAATAAAATCCAAATCAATCTAGGTTGTATGACCCAAGGCTTTTGCCTGCCTAAATAGTAAATCGTAACAATAAAAGGACCATAGACTTAGTATCATCCATATTATGGATTTTGAAGTAATAAGTGCCAACTCCCATGGGAGAATAGTTGAAAAAGTGGCCATCTGTAAGCACTAAATAAAAGTTCAAAAACTATCAACAACAGCTCTGGAGTAGCTAGTGGGATGAAATGAACTTAGCAGTTGTCAACGGTTTAAGTGTGTTGCTAAACTGCTCAGTAGTTCTATAATCTTAAATAATTTTATCTAGTAAATATAGCCTCGAAAAAGTGGTCAATCCCACTAGTATTTTTCGGTGCGTTCTTTAAAATTTACCCCGTAGTTATAGTGGCGCCACCCTTATTTATCGGTTTTCTATGGACACTTTTTAATACACAGTCTGTACTCCTTACTTCTATACTCCATAATCCATATACTTTAGTTATTGTTCTGAGTTTCCATACCATAGAGGTTAGAGAACAGGAGAACGATCGTCGTAGAAAACAGTGTCCCAGAAATATGGACACCGTAAGTGAGGCGCTGCGATCGCTAAGTTCGCTCAATAAAAGTAATTTTCAATCTATTTTTTCGATCAGATGCTAAATCACTTGCATATCCACGCACAATAAAATATTTCTGCATTTCTTAATGTTTCTTTTTGTCAAAAATTAAAATAATACCAAGCATGAAAATTTTCTCACCAATGCCGCGAAGAAAATTGTACAGTATTTAACTAAATTCATCTACTTGTATTTATAAACAGCAAACTTCGCAGCGACTACTCAACGACGGCAACGCCGCTATAAATTTTGGGGTGCCTTGGCGGGATGTTTTTTTTTTTTGGGGGGGGGTTTGTTTTAGGAGAGAGGGGGAGGGGGTTTTTGTTTTTTTAAATATAAATTTTTTTTTTTTTGTTTGGGGGGGTGGTAATTGTGATGAAAAAGAATATAAAATGAAGATTCCGAAAGAAATTATAGGCTCAGAAAGGCTAGAATCCAGAGCCATAAAGCCAGTTAATAAAAAAACAACTGTCAAACTGTCGTTAACAATTAACAATATCATGGCGGAGGATGAAGATGGTGTTTCTAATAAAAAATCGCCACAAAATTCAAACAATGCAGAGTGCTCCCAAGAGAGTGAACAAAATACTACAAAGCCTGACCTAGGTATCGAAGAATCAAAGTACAATAGCAAAGAAAATGGTCACGCGTCGCCCTCTGAACCCAATTGTTCCTCGTACAGTGAGTGTTATATGAAATTATTTTTTATTTGCTAAAAATGTATGTCTATTAAATACTATCATATTTGCAGAGGCCACTGGAGCAGTGCGAAAAGAAGAAAACCCATTTTCCTTTCGACATTTTCTCAAACGGGATCTGTCGTTGCCAGGCAACTCAACATACGAGAATACAGGTGCTAGACCTAAGGTTTATGCGAACACAGTGCAACATTCACCTACTAAAATTGATGTTCACTCGGACTCTAGACGGGACAAAAGTCGTTTGATCGATAACCAAACCAAAGAAAAAGCAAGCGAGGGCATTAGCCAGCGTGTCAGTGATAATACACCTTCAAATAGTTCTATGAATGAACCGTTTAGTGTAGTAGAAAATTCAAATTCTAATAACCTTTATTCAAATAATTCGGATGCACCCTTCTATCACAGACCAAATTTGGCTTCAGAACCTATGGGTATACCTTCTCTGCCTGATTTTGTTCAAGATCACATTTTAGTGGAACAGGCTTACTTAAATTCAAATGGACCCATGTCATTGGATTTGGATAATCTGCCTGACTTCACATTCAACACTAATTTTAACACTGGATCCTCTTCGTCTTCAAGTAGGAGAAATGAAAACAACTACAGGGGAAATAGAGGCTATAATTATGAACCATATATGGGAGCATCCACATCATCTGAATCAGGACCATCTAACCGAAATGTACCCTTAGATTTACCAGCCAGTGCAGAGGCTGCAGGTCCTGTACCAATAGATCATCATATGCACCTTAGCTTGGATCTTACTGAATCTGTTAACCCATCAGATAGAAGAAATATGTCTCCAAGAAACACCTTCCCTTTGGATCTGCCTCCAAATGCAGGTAATTTTAATAAAATAAGAATACCTATAGTTTGTGCCAAATCGATTGAGAAAAAGGAGATGACCTCGATAGGGGTGTTAAAGCGACTTTTTATTGATAATATTAATATTGATATTATTACACTTTAGGTAGCATATTTTTTTTGTAGTTTAATTTCGCCTGAATTAGGGGGTGGGGGTGGTGTGGGGGGAGGGAGAGGAGTTGTAGAGTCACCAACTACTTCCCCTTTCTTCCGGACGTGCTTGGTTTTTTTTTTAGAAATTTTTAAAAATCTCATTTTGAGGTTATGATTCGTAATTTTTATGACAATTTTAACCTGATTTATGGGGATGGGGGACAGAAGCCCCACGCTACTTAACATGGTGCAATCGAGGGAAGTCCGGTCAACAGAGCCCAGCTTCGCGGCTCCTACTTCCGAGTGGTTTACAAAAAAATAACCACGAAGAGTTACTAACCTAACCTGTCCGAGTCGGGGTGCTCCACGTCCCAGGCTCGCTTGCCGCTATTGCACTCGATATAACACCAAAATATTAACTTTTATAACTACTATGATTTATAAACATAAATTATGGCTGCCACCATTTGTAAGAAAGGATCTTTGCTATATTTAGCAGTATTTCGCCGCCACAAATATATCGCTATTCACCAAAATTCTGAAACTCTGAAGCAACGGCATGATGAAAAGCTGTCAACAAAATGGTTGGCCTAGCGATTAATTTTACATATTTTTAAATCAAATCAAAATGATGAATCAATTTACAAAAAATCATAATCTTAAAGATCGATTTCGCAAAGATCGATCTTTTTTTGATTTGCGTTAAAAATTTATATTTACAATAACAAAAGATACAATAAAGTACAGATAACATTGAATGATTGAATTAAAAACTGTCATTCCTTACGAGTTGGGGTACATTCAATTAATTGTAAATGATTTTACAAATCTTAATAAAACAGAAAAAGATTCGATCTCGATTCTCTAGGGTGAAATATCGATTCACTAGTTCGATTCAGTACTATATATTGGTATGACATTGACAGATGAAATGTCAAAAACGTAATTAATTAGTCATTTACCAATATTTTAAAAAAATAATTAAAAATACTTCGACGCTGCTCCGGCAGAAAAAATCGAGTGGGGGTGCTGCTTCAGATAAACCCCCTTCACCCCCACAGTGACAGAATCTTCAAATTCAGGTGACTGAATTGTAAACCCAATGTTTTTTTTGTTTCTTAAATAATATTGTCTGTGGTTCCTATAAACATTGTAAAATCTTACGGTACATCGCGAAAAATGTGTTATATTTTATATTACAATTTATGGTAAGTAACGCAGCAATTCATTTAATAACAGTTTCATATTAAAAAAGTATTTGAAACACTATAATCACCATATTGAGCTTTTGCAAATTCATCCCTTTAACAAAATATAAACAAAACTTACGTTACGTCAGTTCACTCTAAAAGAAACGTGACAATGGCGGCCAGAGATGTGTTAATTTTTTTGGGCCGGCCAGCATGCACAGATTAAAAATAAAGTTCTTATATAATATTGAAAATAAAGTTTTATCTTTTGAATAAGTACATACTTATTCGTTCGGTGTCGTTATCACTCGAATCTTTGTATGTGTAATAAATAAATGCATTTTGTCGTTAAATGAACCAAGTACTTTATAACAATAGATGATTTTTCTTCTACACCAATCTTTTTAATAATAGACTCTAAAAACTTCTTAATAATAGTTAATACATATACATTGATATAAAATAAAAGTTAGTTAAAGTTACAGCCTATATACGTCCCACTGCTGTGCGCAGGCCTCCTCTCATTTCTGAGAGGGTTTTAGGGCAAGGAAATGTCCGCCGTGCTGCCCCAATGCGTGTTGGCGAACTTCACATGTCTTCGAAATATTTTTTTTATATTCCTCAGACATGCCGTTTTCCTCACGATGTTTTCCTTCACCCCTGAGCACGTGGTAAATCCTGCCGGCGGGGATCGAACCTGGGTTACTCGCGTACTGTTATATTTACAGCAAGCACTAAACATCTGAGCTACCATAAAAGAAAATAATTAAAAACATCATTATAAATGAAGAAAGTACTACATATAAAAAGTGCCTATATATTGAAGGTTTGTAGCCCCTGGTTAAACGACCGAAAGATCAATGTCCGTTTTTCTCAATTGATTTGGCACAAACTATGATTCTCAATTTAGAAATGATCCCTAAAGAAACTTAATATCAGTTTTTTTTTATATACTTTTTTAATATTTAGTCCTTTTTGACTTTATAAAAGTTATTTTTTGACATGGATAATTAAAAAATTAATTTATTTTAATACATTAAATACTTCATTTTACTGTTTATCAATATGTGTCCACTATGAATGATTTGTTCATTTGATCCAGATGGTATCAAAGTATTGAATATTGCAATTACATTTTTGAACATTCCGGATCAAATGATTGACTAGACCTGTACTGACCTGAATGATATTATTGAGCAGGTCTTGCAGATCACAGAGTACTAATACTGAAACTACACCAATGTCCTGGTTCGTAAGACAAATCAATACTTGAATGATCAGTTCACTAGAAATGATTGAATGACACATTTCTTATTTTAAAAAATACAGTCTATATATGTATCACTGCTGGCAACAGGCCTCTTCATTCTGTGAGCATTTCACTTCAGATGTCTTTGTAAGTATTTATTCCTCAGACATGCTGGTTTCCTAAATGAAGTTTTTCTTCATTACAGATTACATAATAAATTAGCACTCCAAATTGTAACTAACCATTACATTAGTACTAGACAGGATTAAACTAGGATTACTTGTGTACTATGAAAATGTCGCATCAGAGGCGCATATGTCCTTAGCTTGCATGGCTCCTAAACTATCAATCAATTTAATTATTATTATTATTTGTCTGTAATAAGCACATGTGAAGTAATTATTAGTATAATTTATACAACTTGTATTGTTTAACGGTTGGTCAAAGTGTACATTTAGCATACTGGCAGGAAAGTAATTCTTTAAAAATACTTGTTTCAGCCATAACTAAAAGTTTCAGTTTGTTTAATTGTTAATTTTTAACCCAAAAACCTGCTTACTGCTATACATGTGCTTGTGCAAGCAATGGATGATGGCTGTATTATTTTTTTTAGAATAAAGTAAACAAGCACACACTTCACCTGATGGTAAGTGAATGCTGTGGCCCTTAGACATCTACATTCATCCTTGATTAGGAATCAATATGTAGATGCATTGTCAGGATGAGTACTAAGATGGAATGCTTCATTACCAGTAAAAAGAGTCTCCGGTTCCTTACATTCACCATATGAAACGTAGCAGAATTAAACTGCTATTTCATACTGGTAATCTGTGACAAAGTGATTTTTTTCGGTCGAACCGACCCACTCCTGCTGCAACATTTATAGCTACAGCATGGCTCTACCATGTAACAAAATTGATGCTGGATGATTGATGAATGGAGATAATAGCTGCAGCATGGCTCTATCATGTAATAAATTGATGCTGGATGATTGATGAATGGAGATAATAGCTGCAGCATGGCTCTATCATGTAATAAATTGATGCTGGATGATTGATGAATGGAGATAATAGCTGCAGCATGGCTCTATCATGTAATAAATTGATGCTGGATGATTGATGAATGGAGATAATAGCTGCATCATGGCTCTATCATGTAATAAATTGATGCTGGATGATTGATGAATGGAGATAATAGCTGCAGCATGGCTCTATCATGTAATAAATTGATGCTGGATGATTGATGAATGGAGATAATAGCTGCAGCATGGCTCTATCATGTAATAAATTGATGCTGGATGATTGATGAATGGAGATAATAGCTGCAGCATGGCTCTATCATGTAATAAATTGATGCTGGATGATTGATGAATGAGATATAGCTGCAGCATGGCTCTATCATGTAATAAATTGATGCTGGATGATTGATGAATGGAGATAATAGCTGCAGCATGGCTCTATCATGTAATAAATTGATGCTGGATGATTGATGAATGGAGATAATAGCTGCAGCATGGCTCTATCATGTAATAAATTGATGCTGGATGATTGATGAATGGAGATAATAGCTGCAGCATGGCTCTATCATGTAATAAATTGATGCTGGATGATTGATGAATGGAGATAATAGCTGCAGCATGGCTCTATCATGTAATAAATTGATGCTGGATGATTGATGAATGGAGATAATAGCTGCAGCATGGCTCTATCATGTAATAAATTGATGCTGGATGATTGATGAATGGAGATAATAGCTGCAGCATGGCTCTATCATGTAATAAATTGATGCTGGATGATTGATGAATGGAGATAATAGCTGCAGCATGGCTCTATCATGTAATAAATTGATGCTGGATGATTGATGAATGGAGATAATAGCTGCAGCATGGCTCTATCATGTAATAAATTGATGCTGGATGATTGATGAATGGAGATAATAGCTGCAGCATGGCTCTATCATGTAATAAATTGATGCTGGATGATTGATGAATGGAGATAATAGCTGCAGCATGGCTCTATCATGTAATAAATTGTTGCTGGATGATTGATGAATGGAGATAATAGCTGCAGCATGGCTCTATCATGTAATAAATTGATGCTGGATGATTGATGAATGGAGATAATAGCTGCAGCATGGCTCTATCATGTAATAAATTGATGCTGGATGATTGATGAATGGAGATAATAGCTGCAGCATGGCTCTATCATGTAATAAATTGATGCTGGATGATTGATGAATGGAGATAATAGCTGCAGCATGGCTCTATCATGTAATAAATTGATGCTGGATGATTGATGAATGGAGATAATAGCTGCAGCATGGCTCTATCATGTAATAAATTGATGCTGGATGATTGATGAATGGAGATAATAGCTGCAGCATGGCTCTATCATGTAATAAATTGATGCTGGATGATTGATGAATGGAGATAATAGCTGCAGCATGGCTCTATCATGTAATAAATTGATGCTGGATGATTGATGAATGGAGATAATAGCTGCAGCATGGCTCTATCATGTAATAAATTGATGCTGGATGATTGATGAATGGAGATAATAGCTGCAGCATGGCTCTATCATGTAATAAATTGATGCTGGATGATTGATGAATGGAGATAATAGCTGCAGCATGGCTCTATCATGTAATAAATTGATGCTGGATGATTGATGAATGGAGGATAATAGCTGCAGCATGGCTCTATCGTGTAATAAATTGATGCTGGATGATTGATGAATGGAGATAATAGCTGCAGCATGGCTCTATCGTGTAATAAATTGATGCTGGATGATTGATGAATGGAGATAATAGCTGCAGCATGGCTCTATCATGTAATAAATTGATGCTGGATGATTGATGAATGGAGATAATAGCTGCAGCATGGCTCTATCATGTAATAAATTGATGCTGGATGATTGATGAATGGAGATAATAGCTGCAGCATGGCTCTATCATGTAATAAATTGATGCTGGATGATTGATGAATGGAGATAATAGCTGCAGCATGGCTCTATCATGTAATAAATTGATGCTGGATGATTGATGAATGGAGATAATAGCTGCAGCATGGCTCTATCATGTAATAAATTGATGCTGGATGATTGATGAATGGAGATAATAGCTGCAGCATGGCTCTATCATGTAATAAATTGATGCTGGATGATTGATGAATGGAGAGATAATAGCTGCAGCATGGCTCTATCATGTAATAAATTGATGCTGGATGATTGATGAATGGAGATAATAGCTGCAGCATGGCTCTATCGTGTAATAAATTGATGCTGGATGATTGATGAATGGAGATAATAGCTGCAGCATGGCTCTATCGTGTAATAAATTGATGCTGGATGATTGATGAATGGAGATAATAGCTGCAGCATGGCTCTATCGTGTAATAAATTGATGCTGGATGATTGATGAATGGAGATAATAGCTGCAGCATGGCTCTATCGTGTAATAAATTGATGCTGGATGATTGATGAGCCGTGGCTCTATCATGTTATTGATGCGTGTGTGAATGGAGATAATAGCTGCAGCATGGCTCTATCATGTAATAAATTGATGCTGGATGATTGATGAATGGAGATAATAGCTGCAGCATGGCTCTATCATGTAATAAATTGATGCTGGATGATTGATGAATGGAGATAATAGCTGCAGCATGGCTCTATCGTGTAATAAATTGATGCTGGATGATTGATGAATGGAGATAATAGCTGCATCATGGCTCTATCATGTAATAAATTGATGCTGGATGATTGATGAATGGAGATAATAGCTGCAGCATGGCTCTATCATGTAATAAATTGATGCTGGATGATTGATGAATGGAGATAATAGCTGCAGCATGGCTCTATCATGTAATAAATTGATGCTGGATGATTGATGAATGGAGATAATAGCTGCAGCATGGTTCTATCATGTAATAAATTGATGCTGGATGATTGATGAATGGAGATAATAGCTGCAGCATGGCTCTATCGTGTAATAAATTGATGCTGGATGATTGATGAGTGGAGATAATAGCTGCAGCATGGCTCTATCATGTAATAAATTGATGCTGGATGATTGATGAATGGAGATAATAGCTGCAGCATGGCTCTATCATGTAACAATATTGATGCTGGATGATTGATGAATGGAGATAATAGCTGCAGCATGGCTCTATCATGTAATAAATTGATGCTGGATGATTGATGAATGGAGATAATTATGAAGTCATGGATTCTTTTGTCATATTAGGTGTCTTAGTGTACCAACCAGTGCAGAGCAGTAGGTCTACATTTTAACCTAGGTGTAGATGTTTTAAGTGGATAGATGGATAGGTTTTATATAGGTAGGTAATAAAACATGCTGCAGCTATATTATAGTTGTAACACAAATAGGTCATCTCAACTGCAAAGGGACTATGCCCTGGTAGAATACTAGCATGAAATAGCAGTTTAATGGTGCTGTTTCATATTTTGAGTATAGAGAACCTTTTTACTCAATAATAGATGTAGATTTCTATGAGCCACAGCATCCACTTACCATCAGGTGTGCTCGTTTTTCATGTTTATTTAAAAAAAGATATTTTGTACTTATTTCTGCTACCACTGCACAAAGCGGAATTCACTGCTGATTTCTGATTTAAAGTGATCTTAGCCAGTGAAGTTAATAGTTGTGAGACATTCCATATTAGTCCTCTAAAGTGATAATTCAACTGTAGCTTTTATTCCTTGACTGCCTCTTTTAATATAAAAGTCAACAACGCATTGACTTAACTGTAGTTAGTAGGACTGATATAGTATCAATAGTGTGTGGATTACTTATGTGTATGGTATGGAGTGTTTAGGACTACAACAGTACCCACAGTGTATAAATAATGACATGATTTGTTGGTGCAATTTACATAAGTGATTTATATGTTATTGATACTAAATCAGCCATCCTAACAACTGTTTAGTCAATCCGTTGTCGCTTCTAAAAATTGAACTCAAAAAAGAAAAAAAGAAGTGTAATTATATGAAGCTAATTACTTCCAATAAGGAGTTAACATTTTTGGAAATATTTCACATTCTCACTAAAAAGCGATTTGTTTTCGACATGGTGATTGTTACTATTTGTTTGTATCACAATACAGTTAATCATTATTCATAATTTACTTCATATAAAATTTAGGAAAGCTGTAGCTGGAAATAACGCACAAATATTGCATAGAGTAATGAACAGATCTGGACCAGTGGATCATATAGAACTAATAGCTGCTCTATGCAGGCATTCAATTGGGCTACAAAGGGATGCAGTTAAAAGCTTAGCCATTGTGCAACCAATCCATCTGTTAATTTAATTCTGCAAAAATATTTCCCAAGGATTGTTTCTGCAGTAATTTTCTTTAATAACATATAATCAATGTGCCAATATATTTTTATTCAACACACACACGCGCGCGCGCACACACACGCGCACGCGCACGCACGCACACACACACACACACACACACACACACACACACACACACACACACACACACACACACACACGCACACACACTCGCACAAATATTGGTTTTGTTTCATATGTAACATAAGTATTAAACACAATCAATACAATAATTTAACCATATATGACATTAGATTAGGTTGCTTCTTGTCTGTGTGCTCCCACCATCTCAATTAGAGGTCACAAGAATATTTATTTGCTACGACACCCACTGGATGAGATGGTGGTTCACTTTCTATTTCATTAAACAATCTCCTTTGTTCATTATTTTTAGGAGCAGAATCCAAGCGATTACCAGATTTCCTGCCCGTGCACCCTGGACGCACATCACCTGAGCCTGAGCATCAGGATGAACAGTTACAGCAAATAATGTCTGAGTTGGAAAGGACTAGGTATTTTTTCAACTTTGTAGAACAAACTTTAACAATTTGTTTTAGTAAACATCACAAATAATTTTGTAACAAAATTTGATTAAAAATTTTATTTTTATCTATAATATTTTTGCTCATCAGTGCTAAGCTTCTCTGATTGAAATGTTTCAAAATGTAATAATGTTATACCTTGATTAGTTTTCCTGTAACAGAGAAACAAATTGACTCCATTGTATTAGGGCGTCTTCAAATTAGAGGCGTAAATAAGCGCTGCAGTGGCGCCACTACCAATTTTAATACAATTTCTAGAAGCGCATTCGCAGCGCCACTACCGTGACACACGCACGTCATTTTTGCGTAGGGAAGTAACACGCTTTTAATTATATTGAACCTCCATTATTATCAATCGATGCGCTATTTGGGATGTCAAGTTTTCTTCCTGAAGTTCTCTATAGAAGTCACTTTTTTGAAAATTTGTAAATCCGTAGCTAGACTCAAAGACCCAACATCTATATAGGTGAGACAAAAACACCATGTTTTTATTTGTATGTATTTTGAAATTCCCAATTTTTTCAAAAACTGACAAACATCACTACAATTTACCCAAGCATCACTGACGCGCGGCTACTGCGACTCAGTCGCGCCACTGTAGCACTTCTTTTTGGTAGCACACAATAGGTAGAGTTATTGTAAAAGATAGCATTTGTAATGTTACCTGTATACATACTTTACATCAACTAGTGAAAACTTAAGAGGAGAAGAATTTTTAAAATTGAAATATTTGAATAAATGGTATGCAGGTCAGAGTTGTTTGCGGAGCGCAGCCGGCGCGGCCGCGCGGAGGAAGAGGCGGCACGAGCGCGCGCGCGCCTCGCTGCCCGGGAGCGCGACTGCGCGCTTGAAGCACACGTGAGTAATATCATCATCATCATTACAACCCTACAACAAGTCCACTGCTTCCTAGCCTCTCCTAGAAATGCTATAATGTCTCATAAAATCTTACTAGGTTGTTACCATACCCTATGCTAACTACAATATCCTTTTCTTTCAATAAATTTTATATTCTATCCTAGTTAATACTTTTCTTTTTAATTATTAAATTTTTTTTAACATTTTTTTTACACATGTATGTATTTTCTTTTGTAATTCTTTATTTTCTATTTTTTTCTTCTTTAATTCTGTATCAAGGATGTGTTTTGCGTACAATTGCACATGATCTGATATACTAAATTCAGTTTTTTTTAATGAAAGAGGAGGCAAACGAGCATGCGGCACAACTGATGGTAAGTAACATACGAGGAAGAAAACTCCTAGTAAAACGTACAGTAGTGGACCACCAAGCATCCAGATGGTGAGATCCGTTTAAATTTACCTAAATCAATTAATCCATTTGTGAACACTTTCAGAACTTATTTTGCGACCTACATCATATTTTGTACTTACTATATATTCTTAATTTTAACTAGTCTTTAATAAGTTCAGTAGAAATAATCTGTTGCAAATTTCTAAAGGTTGCGTAAAACTCCCAAGAATTTGTGTAAGATGTTCTGTCCATAAGCGCTAGTATTCAATTCAAATGCGTATCTTAATATTTTCAGACAGGGCCGGCGGATCCTGAAGCTGTTGCAATATTAAAAAATGAAATAAAGAAATTGAAGGTGGGTACATACACTCTTGAATCCTTTATCATTTCTTTGCCAGGTTTTTTGTTTAACTATGGAAAAATATTCCTCATCAGGCCATAGAGATCCACAGCTGAGCATGGGCCGCTCCCATTGAATGGAGGTTTTGCCGTAGTCAATTACCGATTGCAGTATCGGACGTATCGCACATTTTACGCATATACGCTTGCGTACACATATAAAAGATATTATTTTACTATAATAATAGGTATTTGCCTACTAAATTGCCGTTCTGCAATACTGGCCATTTCAAATCAAAATAATTTTTGTTTGGCTGAGAATTCTTATTTCAAATTAATATTATTTTAAAAACATGAAATTCTTTTATCAAAATTAGTCGTTTGTTTATTGATTAGCGCATAGAATACTATAATACACAATAGAATGGCTGTCACCTTTATTTTATACGGGGATTGGCGTCTCCAAACCCGATTCGCTGTGTTGACAGACTGAGTAAATTTACACATTTTAGACTTTTGATTAATGTTCAAGATTATCATTAAATTTTAAAACATATTTATTTGTAAATAGAGTGCAATTTGGCATTTTCTCAATTATTTGCATGCGAAATTTGGAAAAAATTGTAACGTCAAAACCAGAGAAGTTGCGGAGCTTCGACTCCGGTTTCGTTAAGTCGGAACTTTCGATTATTATTACACCTTCGGTTCCGACTTCGGCTCCGACACTTAAGTCGAAGGTTTTAATCGGAGGTCCAAGCATAACATAGCGGCGGCGGCGGCTTGTGTCAACTGTTATGAACAGGTTCATACATGTCGCGCGGGGAATCCTCCCGACTCTCACTACGTGCGCTCTATCGTCAATTATTTTTTCACTTGTTAATTTGTTACGCACACGGCACGTTCATAGGTTATAGATATTTGTTTTGATTTTTGCGGCTTATTATCAATAAAAGTGATCTGTTTTTGTGTTGGACAATGAAACCTAAATAAAGTTTTATTTGGAACTACTTCATTGCAGTTAATTCAGATTCGGCAAAGTGTAAACTGTGTATGAAGACGTATTCAAGAAAAGGAGGTACGACAACGTCATTAAAAGGCCATTTGAAGTCTATCCATGCCACTGAATATGAAGAATTAATAAAGTTAGAAACTGAAAAAAAAATACTGTACAGCCTTCGACTTCGACGCCCCTTCAGGATGCTAAAAAACAAATTACTTTAAAAGAAACTTTGCTGAAGAATACAAAATGGTGCACTTCTAATGCTAAATCTATGGAAATTGACAAATTGATTTCTGAAATGATTGCTTTGCAAGACCTACCCTTCAATTTTGGTATAGGATTTCGACGACGGGGTTGTGCAGTTCACTGTGCCGAATTATCACTTTTATGGCATATGAAATATTAGCAAAAAAATTAAGGATTTGCTCACACAATTTGAAAAGATCTCATTTACAACAGACATTTGGACCGAACCATGTTCGAATGTGTCTTTATTGAGTCTGACAGCGCATGGCATAAATAGAGATTTTAAAAGGCTAAAAGTTATTTTAAAACGCCACACATTTGATGGAAGACATACAGGAGACCTAGTTCTAGAAAAAATTAAGAGTATTTTGATGGAATGGGGCATCATAAAAGAGAAAATGCATTGTTTTGTACGCGACTCTGGATCTAATATGAAAAGAGCAATGAAACTCGGCGACATGCCTGATGTCAGTTGCACTGTACATCAGTTGCAACTGTGTGTGCGAACATTGTTAGATTGTGATGAGGAAATTAAAGCCTTATTATCAAAATGCAAAAAAATTCGACGCATTTTAATCATTCCCAAATAGCTCGGACTGAACTGCATAAAATACAAAAGGAACAACTCAACCAAGAATGTTTGAGTGTAATACAGGAGTGTAGTACGCGGTAAGTTGTATTAATTTGTGCATTTATTTTTACCTCTAGATTATTTCATTTAAATCAAAAATCCACGCTAATACAATAAAATTCAATAAATTCAAGTAAAACCATTAAATCGATTTTATTAAAACTTGATGTGGTATATGCACGCTGATTATAATGAGTGTATTATTTCGTTTTTGTCATTCATTGTTTTCTTTAAAACGACGTATCGAAAACGCTATCGCCGTACTGATCCGAGTAAATACATAATTTCTATAAAAACTTGAAAAAACGCCGTCATAAGGTCTAAAATTGCGTAGCGCCCGCGACGATTAAAATCGTTTAGAAATTGTCAGAATCTTAAAATATTTTAAAAAAAATTATTGATTTACGAAGTAAATTATGAATATTGATGTTATGAATATATTTGAGTGATTGCGTGTTTTCATTGTTTTCGCAAATAATTATGATCGAGTCAAAATTATACAATCGTGAAAAAGACATGAATTTACCTATATCAAAATCCCACTTTCGTTAGTGGTGTCATAGTCCTTTACTATTCGATGAAAGGAGGTGCATTTTTTCACGGTGTCGGTTTAAGTTATATTGTAAATTAGTGTAAATTATAAGCGTTAATTAGTTTTATTAATTTTTTACAGGTGGAACAGTACATTTTACTTGTATATGCTGGAAAGAATGATTAGAATACAGGATTTTCTATGCCTGTACGCATGTAAACACAACATCTCTCAGTTGTCTCTGAAGAATGGCTGCAGCTTAAAAAAATAGTGACTATACTTCAACCTTTTAAAGAAATTACCCGAAATATGAGTGACAATAACACCAGTATCTCATCAGTAATTCCACTTATACATACGCTAAAGTATATATTACACACTGAAGGCAGTAAACAAGACACAAATGAAAAATTTAAAAGTATAATAAAATGTACCGTCGATCAATTAAATTCCAAATTTGGTGACCTTCAATTACACAATTTCTTTGCAATAGCAACATATCTAGATCCTCGTTATAAAACAAAATTTTTTAATGAAGTGGTTAAAGAGAAGATTGAAACAGAAATAATGTCACTATTTGATGCAGATACATCTAAAAACGATGCTAATAATATTGCCGTTCCTGTAGAAAAACGGGCAAGAATGCAATTACCAGCAGAAGTTAGCCATAGTAATGTCCAAACAGTTTTGTCGAATATATTGTTAAGTAGTGATGAAGACGATGATAATACCACATCTGAAAAATGTGCAGTTTTTAACAAATTTGTTGTAATGAAAAGTATACTAAATGAGTTCAATAAAGAAAAACGTATAAGTATTAGTGATGATCCGTTATTATGGTGGAAAGTAAATGGAAATACAAAATTCGAGCCCCTTCAATCAATTACCCGCCAATATTTGTTGTGTCCACCAAGCGCGGTAGCGAGCGAACAACTTTTTAGTGGCGCTGGCCTAATCTACGACTCGTTAAGAAATAGATTGGACGGAGACAAAGCTTCAAAGCTTTTGTTCGTAAAGTATAATACACTACTTTTAGAGTCGATTCATTTAATTTAATTAGTTTTAAAGCTTTTGTAAAATGAAAGTTTCTTATGCTTCAATACATTTAATTATCTTGTACAATCAACTGTTCATTATACCTCAATACACTTAATCACTTTAGTTTCCTTTAATACTTTTTAACACTCAAGTTTATTCTCACAAGACCCGTCGCACACGCCGACGCTCGGATACTTAGTGTCGTGTTACGGCGCGCCCTGGCGGCGCCAGCCCGCTCGGCATTGCTCGCGTGATTCCGGCAACGACTCGTAACATCGGCCATCCTGCAAAGTGAATACCATAAGGTATTCACGAAGAGTCATTAGATAACATTCAGAATATTTGCAACTAACAAATTAATCAGATCATGCGTATCTACCACATCTTTATCGCTATCAGCAGAATCCGTTTCACAACCGATAGAACTTTTATACGGCCGCAATGAGTCAGCTGGTACCATTGCAACGAAACTCTTATAGCCTTGTGCCAAGTCTAAACTGGTATAAAAGCACTTGCCTGATAACTTATTTAATTGATCGTCGATTTGAGGTAAAGGGAATCGATCTTTGACGGTAATAGCGTTGAGTGCTCGGTAATCAATACAAAGCCAACTATCTCCATTACTTTTCTTTACTAGGACAACTAGTGATGCGTAATTAGACTGCGATTCTCTAATGATTCCTGCATCCAGTAAATCCTTAACCTTGGCTCGTACAATTTCGAGTTCCTTATACCCTAACCTATATGGTTTATGAAACACTGGAGTCTTTGAAGTCAACTCAATAGTCATGTCAGATAAATTTGTCACTCCGAGGTCATGTGAATTAGCAGCAAAACAATCTTGATAGTCCAGTAACAGCTCAAACAATCGACATTGGTCATAGTCAGATAAATCGCCTACAGCTATGTCAGGAACTGGTGTACTTGCAAGTTTTAAAGTACGTAAATGCTTAAGAGTGTTAGCTGATGTAAAAGTCGTTATGTTGTTGACTTATATCAACTCAGACCCCTGTGGAAGTACATAAGCAAAATTGATTTAAGCCGTCATGTACCAATTCTCATAATTGTAAAAAAATTAAAATGCTAGCTATAAGTACCGCTGCAAACTTTGGTCACTCATTTCAGCTATGTGCACAAGTGATAACAACTATGTAATAAAAGTTAAGCGTTACAACAGAAAATCATCAATAGTTAGGTTGAGTTTTGAGCCGCCTAAACTTACTGACTAGAAAACTGTGACTGACCGTTTTATTTGTATAATTTTGCCTTAATTAAGTTATGTAGCGGCCACTGAATCAGGTGAAAGAAGCATGATAACACACTTACGCAGATACACAGTACTTCACGAGCAGTCAGAATTGTAATATTTTGTTAATTATAGTATAAGTAAGGCTACAGCTCACACACATCCCACGGATGGCACAAGCCTTTTTTTTTGTTGAAAATCAGAATATGAGATGACAGATTGATCGAGCCGCTCACGCACCGTGAATTTACGACGAGCGTTTCGCCCCAGAGTTACCGAGGCTTAAGTTCAGTATCAGTAAGAAAAACAATAATGTATATCAA